GACCCTTATACATTATCTTATTCGTCTTAAATCTATCTTAAGGTAGTATTCGATAATAGCAATTGATATCGAAGGCTTCCTAAGTAATACCTCAACCTAGTGTTCTAAACGAAGCTGTTTCAGTAGATACTAGTTATCTTAAAGAAGCTTTATAGTGACCTGAATATCGAGATCTTGTGAGAATACTACCAATTTAGCACTAGTGTCCGGGAAACCTGTTTCTTTGCCGGCCTCGATAATCTTATTCACTGTTGTATTATATTCAGTACTTTCTTTGACAAGATTGATTGTCTAAGGAAAGTTAAATGTGTATGGTTCCTCTATGGGGTGGGTAATCGGGCTAAGGCGGGTACGCGATTGATGATAATAATCTAGAATTCGTATTTAAAGAGAAGAAATGTTTGTAGGGCTGTTATTGATTCTCTTATATTTCTTTGCTGTCGCTTTTTGTTCCGTTGAGCGAATATTAGACTGATAGCGACTTAAACTCATACACTATTAATGAGAATCTAGTGTGGAGAGGTCGCTGTGAACCGGTGCGTTAATGGGCTGTTTCTTCGAAAACCAAATTTGAACGCCCACAGCAGATACCGAATCCAAAGCCTGGAACTATGAAAAACACTTCTCAATATAGATGAACACAGCTTAATACCGCATAATCTTAGTATTGTGATTGTTATGCTGGCGGTAAGTCCAGAAATCTTGCCATTTTAATAGTGAATTTCAGGAATTTTAGCTTCTTACTATCCAGCATCTCTGTTTGAACATTTTTGGGAAGAAACTTGAATAGGAGAGGGGCAATCTGATATAATGATTTGAGCGTGGGGTTGTAGCTTCTGGATATGTTTGAACTATTGTGCTTAACCCGCTTAGTTCTATATGCTTTGGCGTTTAGTAGAATTTGGCGAAATAGATCTTCTCTCTTAGCTAAGGCTGTTATTGCTTTTCGTGTGCTGTAGTAAACGGTCTGTCCTAGTTCTAATACTTTGTAAGGTGTATTGTATTTCCTCTTGGGAGATATAGTGGGTCCTTGGTGTTTTACTTTCGGGTCGTAAGAGGGCCTTGAAGAACTTAATATTGCGACGGTTTAAGATTTGCTGGGAGAGAATTTCTGTAGTCTGCTTCCGGGATATTTGGGTCAAAGGACACTAGCTCTCTTCTAGGGTTGCCCTGTGGTTAATTCGTCTTAATGAAAGGTTTGTATTCCGATTTTTATGTTGTTTATCTAGATTGTCGAGATCGTCGGGTAGCTTTGTGTTTGGTGCAGTTGGTGACACAATTATCTTGTCCGATGGGATGGGCTGGTGTATTAAGTTCTTGGTTGGATCTAATTGGAAATGGGAATTGCTCGGCGAATTCCCGACCGCGGGTTTTTGATCAGAATCTATTTGAGCTCTTCTTGTATGTTAATTAGATGTATGCGAGTCATCAGGCTCTTGGAAAGAAAATCAAGTACTATTCCAATTAATTTGAGGTATCGGACGAGCTTTAAAAGGTATTATTCTGGCTTCGGTCGCAATTGCTTGGCGACGCTATCTGAAACTTAAGATAAGCTGCTTTCCTCTCAATTAATTGATTTATATGCTTTCTTGCGGACATTAATTAAGTTAAATCCTGGGATTGCTTGATTTCTAGGCCTCAACTTTGTTTAAGGTGTCCGATTGTACTCTGTATCTCCTCAGGAGCCGAATCTTACTGGGTTCTAGTTCATTATATATCAAGAGTATCTCTTTTGTTCAGTATTGCGTTCATTTCATACTGCGCTTTATGTGAGGGGTTTTCGTGGAAATACCCAGTCACTGAACAGGGATGATGTATAGAAGGAGAGGCGTTGAGTAGACTGTAGCCTCTCTCCGCTGTATATTTAATATCGCACCCTCAACACTGTTCGGCGAACGCTCTATCTATAATAAATAAGCTACTTACCCAGCAATTAATTTTCTATTCTACCTTCTAGTATCTAAGAAACTAAGCAAAGCCCCGAATTCGATTGAGTCCTGCAAATAACTAGTTCCACGACTCCAGCAAGAAAGAGTCAGCTTTGGAAACGGCCCAGAAACATTTTACGTCGCCACAGTGATTTCTGGCGCTTTTACTTGATCAAAAGCTGGCTGGTTATTGAACCGCTAAATGGCCAACAAATGATTTACTACGTTCATCCCAATGCTCCAGCTCCCACTGAAAAGTATATGGTATGAACCTCGATCGACCAGCAGCTGCTTAATATTTTATGATGTTAACATGTTACATTTACAGAAAAGTCGCCTCCAGCGCAACATTCATGTGATTCCCGCGGACTATTCGGACGAAGAATCAGGGAAGCCAACGAGAAATAAACCCCGGGTGACCCTTTTTGCTGCGCGTGCAAATGATGTATTTTGGTCTCTGTCTCGTATTATTGGAAGTTACCCTCTTAAAGCCCCAGGCACAACCCGAGGAAGAAGATAATAGTATTTCCATAGATTATATAATTGATAGGTTGATAAAGCAGTTTTCTCCAATCTCTATATACATGACAGAGAACCCAGCTTGTCCCTTTCCGGATTAGTGCTCACCCCATAAGGATCCAGCGCACCTGTGTCTAATAGAAGACACCACCATCATCTATAACACGGACATCTTAGAATCAAAATTCAACATATTGTAATTAGAAGTTTCGAGATTATGTAAATCCACAATTCACTTATCTTAGAATATTCAACTATTCCGATATTCGAATCGGAAAAAAATAAGCTTGTTAATTGCGAGTATGAACCTTTCCGAATCTACACATAGCGACACTAGCATGACCACATTATGACGAAATACGCCCACACGTCATATGCGCCTTAAAAACATTGATAAGCACAGCAAGGCTTGCACTAAGAGAGATATTGACGTATTCTCACATCAAACAACACTTTAAGGACAAAAAAGCCAATATGGATCAACGTGTTGAGCCCCAGAGTGGCTCAGTTAAGAGACGTCAAAGTTCGGAAAAACTAAAACAGCAAGACACACGCCCTGATAATGTCAACAGTAAGTATATCATTCGCATTCAGAATAGATTGTCTTTTTGACAGGCTACAACAGAGCAAGCGACCGTCACGAATAAGGATGAAATGGCCATTGGTGACAGTAGCAGGGCAGAGCATAAGAAAGAAGGTCTGGAAATCTCTCCCTTGCATGTATTGCATCACATGTCTAACTAGAAATCCTTGTTATGGCCAAAGATCACTGTTGTGACAAGGCAACCGGCTTGCATAACTCCAAAATCGCAAATAAGCTCGATCCTCGTGTTGATTCCGATCAGACCACGACAGCTCAACAAGCCTCCAAAACGCGTATGCCTGGTTGGATGGTACTATGAATGCACTCAAGTCCGCATATTACACTTTACCACGGTTTTCCTCTCCTTTAGACGAGGGAATATGTCGGGGCTACTCGAAGATTTTCGCAGAAGAAGTGGATGGGCTTACAGAGGCTGCGGCATTGCCGGAAACAAGTAGACGGGGACAGTTTAATTATATGGTCCTGTTCAGCGGGTGGGTTGGTTTAATTGATTGAAAGAAATGCCCATCCTAGTGGAGCTGGTCCCCTCCCCTACTTCCTTATGACAGGGGCTTTAATCACGCGACATTTGTCATGACATAAGATCAAGCATCGAAGCGGCTTCGCCATTGTCTATGCCAAGAAATTAATTTCTACTGGGTATTTCTCCAGACTAGTCCTGTCAGTTGGGATGTAATCATTAGTCTGGGTCCTGCCAATAACGGCATCTAATTTGTACAGTCCTGAGGAAGGATAGAATTAGTCAAATAATGCAGGTACGTCATGTCCCCTTCCATGTGGTTGGCCTTCTAATCACTGATCAAAGTGTGCTACCTAAGGCGTTGAATATGCATAGAGGTCTGCGCACAATGTATAATGATTAACAAAGGTGAATCATGTTCTCTCGGTACAATACCAGAAGGACTTAAGCCGGATTTCTCTTTTGGAAGAGTATTGCTCCAAGATACTAGAACGCCGAAAGGGGGATCTTCGCGAGGGAGGGGGACGAATGTTTTATGCTTCTCGTCGCGGTCGATGAGACTCCAGCTCACTGCATGGTCACATTAAAAAAATGCCGTCAGGACGACGGCGTCACTCAATTAACTAGCTAACACCTCTGCCTCCTCACAAAGCGCAAGGCATCAAGGGTAGCGCACTGTCGTGGCGGCGAAACAAAGTTTCCAATTCCTGTATATTGATGAGTTGGTTACTGATGAGATAGTATTTAGAAAAACGCTCCGGCCCACGAAGGATGGAAGGAATATTGCAGACAACGTGACCAAGAATCTTTTTATGTAAAAGTGAGTAGTACTTTATTGGCGCTCTTATGAATGAGGTAGGTCAGTTACTATACACGTTAGTTAGTTGGCTTGTTAATATCGAAGGAGAGGTAAGGAAGAGCTATAAATAAAGAGTGTGGAAGACATACTTCAGAGGGGAACAAGAGAATGAAATTATTATGAATATCTTGATTTAACTTCACTTTACCATTTGACTGTTACAGCATGAAAGAGTTGGTTGTAGTTACGCTTTAGCCGACTATGTTCGTCACTGAATCCTCATCCAACACATAGCTGTCCTAGACTTTGCGGACCAAAGATTTCGAAGTCGCGCACCATGAGAGCAAGACATCAGTAACGGCGATAGGCTAAGGGGGCCCTGCCTAGGATTTACTTCTTTAAAGGGTACAAGTTTCATATATGAACAATGATATATGTAGCTGCAGTAGCCTGCATATCGCTTTTATAGCTATTTTTCTCACATAGACTAAAATACGAATCTGTACTCAGCCTAGTGGGCTTGTGGGTTGGAATACAGCTTTTAAGGCGTGGGGTCGGGCGGGGTAAATGACATAAGACCGTAGTTATAATTCTTTAATTCAATATCATTCATACAAAAATTAACGCCTGGCAGGAGAAAACAAATGGCACGGTATAGAAAGAGCTGGCTCACTGAAGGTTCCTGCAGTATCAAATTGAAGATGTCCCTGTAGGTTTTCCAGCCTGGGGCATGAACCGACTACTCGCAGAAACATCATTGCGACGTTCTTCTTGCCTCTTTTTCTGTTTGTCATATTGAACCCCCGCAGGTTTTCCAGATTGAGGCATAAATCGGCTGTTTGCGGGGATATCTTTGTATTGCTCCCCATTATTCTTCGCGTCTGGTCTCTGCTGTTGAGATTCCGAAGGGACTTTTGGTTCATTTTCGTCACCTGTATTAGTCAATGTCAGTTCTTCCGTACAGAATGAATATTGGGGATGGAAAAGATATATCGTACCTTTCACATTGCTTTCTTGGATATCAATATCCATAGCCCTATAGTCGTGGGGACCGTTATTTTTCGAATGCTGAGACATGATGGATTATCAAGAAGCTGCAATAGGTGTAGCTGAAACGATGTGGTCAATTACTGTGGGATTTGAAGCGAATATAATACTTATTGGGGTAAACAATTCCCCGCTTATGACACGTGAATGACGTTAAGAATTTCGCATCCTTGGTACTTTAGATCCCAACCGTTTTAAATGCCGAAAACCAGTATTTGGGCTGAGTCTATGAGTTGACAACCTTGTCATTTGGAGAAATTGAAAGTTCTTGCCACTATTCGTTCGATCCCTGTTTGGCGTGAATATTTGGCTTGGTAAGACACTCTTTCGCTAATTCTGAGGTATACTTTTTCTGTTCTTGGCTGTCGTTCTGAGATCTTGAAGGTTTCATCGATTGACTCGAGGCTTCTAAATCTAGTACCTTGGCGTGCTCAGACGGTCCGGGACGCTCCATTTCTCGAGTCTTTTGGCTCACACTTTGGTCGGCCGGGGCCTACGCATGAGGATCACCCTTGCTATTTCTATAGCCGGCATTTGAGTATTGCAGTCGTGCCGACGTGCCGACGCGGGAAGGGATCGGAGGGCATCTGTCTTGATTCGATTTGATCGTAGCGTTGACCAATAGGGCTGACGCTTAAAAGTCGCAATGGAAACTGCGCGCAAGTTGTACATGATGACAATTGATATATGGTAGGATGAAATGGAAGTATTACTAACATTGTGTGCTGTTCTTCTCAAATAGTCATGGTATGACCTGAAATACCGTCTCTGTACTGACGTATCAAGCCCTTTGAGTAATGTAAGTTCTTACCTCATGATGTAACTTTCCTCCCTGTTGAGCAGGTCTACCCCACATTCGTTCCATAGAACCCTTTTTTTGTGGAGCCCCAGCCGTCATATCTCAGGAAAATCCCTGTATAAAAATTAAAGGTTGTATGCTTGGAAAATTTATCCCTGTGATCTTTTAAAGGATCAAAATGGCTGTCACAACTTCATTTGGCTTGGCATCTGACAAATCAACATTTTCTTTCAGGTGTGAAGCCAAACGTGTTCTTCCCCATTCAGTTTCGCAGTAAACCCTGCTATTTTGGATTAACAGCACAACCAAGGTGTACCGTTAGGACTCTGGTCATATTTCAAAGTAGCACTTATACTGAATACTATCTGGGCAGCTAACTACGAGGTGTAAGCCTACCGAGGTTGTACATCGAGAAAAAGAATACCATGCAGTAAAATAATTTGTCATCAGGACAGCCGGATGAAATTACTTCTAGCTCTGTCTAGTGATTCGCTTATTTCTAACAAAACTTGAACATAGTTTTCTAAAATTAATGTCACACGTTAAAGAGTGCATATCGCTTCGTAATGCTGTCTATTTTCTAAGACGAGTCTCCAGAAATGACAAGCACTAAGAGGAGATTAGTCAAAGATTATATCAGGGCTGTGACAAGTATACTCAGGCTCCCGCGATATAACACTAAATCAGTTTCTCGAGTTTCTACAGCAACCCATCCCATCACAAAGGACCAAATACACGCCACTTAACATGGTTTCTGTGACAAGAAAATGGTTGCCGACGACGTAAGACCAGTATCGAGTTTCCTGTTCTGTCTCCTTTCGCAGTCCAGAAACCGCTCCATTGTCTTCCAAGGTATCATAATCGCCTAACAATCTACACAAAAAGCAGGAGAAGACCTGCACAGACAAACATGATTCGGCGGCGTGGAGCTAAAATTTATCTAGCAAAACGAAGGGTCTACTTTGTCGCCTGAGACATTACACGAGCATCACGAGAACACCACCTTCTCAGCAAAGCAATGGCTTTGAATCAACTATTCCACCAGATAGGTTAACATTGGTAGCACTCAGGCATTTTTTTGATTGTGAATACGGTAGAAGTTCCAGTCATCGCATGCCAGCCGCAAAATATCCCCAAAAGCACATATTTAGACATGGCTAATAGCTCTGATGTTTGATTATATTTATCTGTTATTTGATCTTTACTTCAATTCTTCTACCGCCTTACCTTCTCTTGTTTATCCGCTTTTTTGTGATCTTACTGTTGCAAGTTCAGACGCAACATAAGCTCCTTATCCCAGCAGCATCACAAGGGCAGGCCTCAAAGATCGTCTAAAAAGGGGCAAAACAATCCGTCTCCAATAATCCAACCCACTCAGTACAATTTCTCCCCTATGAAAAAAAAAAAAAGCTCTTCCCGGCAGGCTGGCAGCTCACTAACAATATTTCTGCTACCAGCCGTAAGGTCACCGCACAATGCGCAACCAAGAGGACGCGTTCGGTACTTGAGCTCAAAAGAAAGAAGGCCCAGTCCATGACTCTTAAGAACTCCAAAGACTTTCGATAACAACATCTCTCATCTACTCGGATATCACCTTTCCCATGGAATCTCACAGCCAACATGATTGTGTTGAGATTTCAGTCACTCGAAACTAATTGACGGATAACTGCGTTGTTTTGTAAGAAGGTCGCGTTTGTGCGTTTTGTCACGTATGCCTATTGAAGCCTCGACCAATCACTGCCCTGTTTTTCATGACATCAACGTGGCACTTGAAAGTTGTTTCTGGCCACCACGACATTCATGACGTTTAAAGTGATTCAGGATTACGAGAACCAAGGCCTCTTGCCCAAATATCTGGATATTCTGTCGCGATGAAAGAGCCAGGAAAATCAGCGCCACAGCCCTCTCATATCCAACTGCCCGCTCATCTCAGAGGGAATTGTTCCAAGTCTTTCAAACGAGATAAACAAACAGCAGACCACCAAATTCACCAAATTAAAAACATTAACTTCGCCCCAATGAATTGAGAAATGCATGAAGAAGTTTTGTCATAACATTCGCAATTGTAAGTTGCTTCGTTGCTGTGGTGCGGGTAAATGGAGCCGTCAATGTGGAGATGACGCGGACAACTAAAACGTAGACTACGCAACAGTTAATTGACGCGACTGACTAAAACTATGATATGGTGGCGTCCAAGCTGTGTTCGAACTCACACAGACATGTTATATCGTCATAGGGTGCGATTAATGCGTAGCTATCATTATGATGTCACTCTGCCGCCCAGGATACAAGATTTTGTAAAGGTAAAAAAACTGAAACTGAGCTGCTCATAGTCCAAACATTTTTCCGTAACCTTGCCTTCTTGCAAGTTGCATAAATTCATCAATTTCACTGGTATAGTCAAAATGACAGTCTCGCAAGCCGCGAATCTGGTGGAGAAGATTGTTGGCCATGGTGATAATTCATCGGTGACCACTGATATCAGTCATTACGATAATGAGTATGGATTGGAAACTGGAGACAAAATACTGGCAACCACTTGGCAGGGGAAGAACGCTGTGAAACTGGGTTTGTGTACTTTTAGCTTTTGTGATTTGAATGAGACATACTAAGGGCGATTATTAGTGACAATGCAGAAGCCAAGAGTTGTTGACTTGGGGGATGTTGTTGTAAAGGTCACTGGTAGCACAATTTGTGGAAGTGATCTACACTTGTATCATGGCATGTCGAAAGCTTCCGACCTGTTGCGCTGCTGCTAATATCATGCAGGTGTTATTCCTCAGCTACAGAAAGGCGATGTTCTTGGCCATGAATGCTGTGGTATAGTCGAGACAGTCGGGCCTAAGGCAACCAAGGTCAAAGCTGGTGATCGCGTGGTTGTGTCGTTCCCAATAGCTTGTGGAGGTTGCGGAAACTGTGTGAAAGAGAGGTACTCCCAGTGCCAAAGAACAAATGAGAATACCATTGAAAATGCGATGTATGGAAAGCGAACTGCTGGTAAGTTCAATAATTCTCCATTTTACTCTCGTAATCTATGCTTATACATTGCTAATTAAACTCAGGAATGTTTGGATACTCCCATTTCACTGGCGGGTTTGCTGGCGGTCAGGCGGAGTATATTCGCGTTCCATATGGTGATGTCAATCTGCTCCATATTCCAGATGATGTACCTGATGAGAAAGCTTTATATTTATCGGACGTGATTGCTACATCGTGGCACTGTGTCGTAGATACGGGTGTTGAGAAAGGTGACGTTGTTGCTATTTGGGGCGGTGGCCCCATTGGACAGATGTGTGCTGAATTTGCATTCCTCCATGGAGCCAGTCGAGTAATTTTGATTGACGGTGGTGATGCAGCATGGCGCCTGGAATTTGTCAAAGCAAAAGTCCCCAGCCTTGAGACCATTGATTTTACTCGGTTGCCCCGTGGCCATTCAGTGACAAGTCAGTTGAAGGAAATGGTGCCAGAAGGGGTAGATGTTGCACTTGAGTGCGCTGCAGGTGAATACGCCAAAGGATGGGCGCATTATTTTGAGCAGTTACTTGGGATGGAAACGGACACGTCGGAATTATTGAATGAGATGATCACCTCTGTTCGCGCATTTGGACGCGTTGGAGTGACCGGTATATATGCCGGATACGTGAGTCTTCCATTCTGTTGAATTATCATTGACTATAGCTAATATAAATATAACCTACCACAGACGAATCACTTCAACATCGGTGCATTGATGGAGACAGGCGTGCGGCTTATTGGAAATGGCCAAGCCCCGGTTCACAAATACTGGCAACGCCTGATGGATATGATTCAGCAAGGTAAAATCAATCCACTGGATATGGTCAGTCATCGTCTTCGGTTGGAGGATATCGAAAAGGTTTATGAGACTTTTGACCATCGCAATAGCGGTATGCAGAAAGTCTTCCTGCAGACTAAACACTACAGTCCTTTTGCACCAAAGCCTCCATCATTAACTACACCTTAACCTTTCTGGGGCTTAACAAGGTGAGATGGAGGCCGAGGCATCTACAACCGTAATAAGAGAGTATGAATTATTGCTGGTATATTTGACTTGTTGTAAATTCCATTATTGTGTTATTTATGGAATAGGCCAGCGGGATTGCTTGGGCATCGGCAGACCAACATGACCGGAACGCTATCTACGCAATTACAGTGATTTAATTAGTGTCAAATTTAATATCTACTTTACTTGATTAGAAAGCAAATTCTTTGAGTAATAAGTTCGAAGTGATGAAGGGCGTGGCAGATGTGTGTCTTGTTGCGTGCATTGCCCTGCACCCCAATGGCCACTATGTGATGAGATGTGATGAGACTGAGTGTTTAGTCCTGTGAAGAAATTCTATGGCATAAGAGAATAAATATCTGAATGTATAAATTAATCAGTCTCATCTGGCGACTTTATGTTTGTGTACTCGGTTGAACATTTTGTGCAGATTTTGCTTGCTAGTAGAAATTTGTGCTTATGTCCCGAACTGTATTTGATTACCCCAGTGTGAGTGTATAGAAAATCCACTATACGGTTTGAAGAAATATGAAGAACTGATTATCTAGCGGATTTATTTAGAATATAGCTATATACTGTCAGGGTGTGGCAGGCAGTTATATATCAGGAGCTAGCAGGCTGGTTTATACAGTAAGTAGGGAATCAGAAGTAGTTATATTATAGATAGAAGTTTTAGATAATAAGTATATAAATCTATAGTCTTAAGAATCTTAAATAGATTAAGATTCTTCTAATTAAGTTTTTTCTATAGGTAGAGAATCTTAATATTTTAGATACTAAGCTAGACTAGTTATTTAATTTAGTAGTTTTAAGTAGACTAGTAGTATTAGTTTATAGATTCTTTATAATAGATTTAGATAAATATTATTTTATTCTATATAAACTTAGTAATATCTTTTATTTATATAGTAATCTTTTTAATATCTAAAATAATAATAGATAGATAGGGATCTAGTTATATAGACTTAAATCCTAGGATTAGATAGAATCTATAGTTAGTAAAGAATAGGAAAACTTTAATAGTCTTAGATTTATTAGAGTTTAAAGTAAATTTAGCTAATAGAACTTATTCTAATTAGTTATCTTATAGATATAAGATATATACTTATAGATATTATTCTAGGATTATATTTATTCATTTAGTTTAACTATTAATCTTAGAATAGTATATAATTAATAATAGGTTTATAATTTATAGATATTAGATTAAATATCTCTAGAGTTCTAATATAAATTAAGATCTATAATTAGATATAATTATATAAAATAAACTATATAACTTCTAGATATACTAGATATATAATTAAAAGACTTCTCTAGTATTATAGATTCTATAATAGAGTATAAAATATCTTATTTTTATAAGTTAGTCTATTATTATAAGAATAATATTAAATCTATTATTTTTAAGTAGATATATTGTAATGGTTACTAAGTTGTCAGGCTAGAGACCTGTGACTAGGCAAGGATATCGGATGGTAGAGATCAAATAGAACAGTTGATATACAGAACTGATTCTTGCAGGACAAGAATCGTAGCTATTGTTCGTGTGTTTTAATATTGCTAGAGCTTGCTAGGGCTTAGGGCAGTCATGCATTAGCGGGTGTATCGTGGTAGATTCGCCCGCGGAGCGGCCATGAATCGTACCCGAATCGTACCCGAAGGGATTCAGGAATCCCGTGACATATATAATAAAATCTATTAAAATATTTTACTAAGATTATATAAATATAAATAAAGAATAGAGAACTTTTTATTAAGTTTCTTAAAATAAGATAATCTTTTAGTAGATATAATAGTTTTAGGTCTAATAAATAATATATTAATAGATTTTAGGTTAGTAATATTTTTAAAAGATTAGTTTATATATTTTTAAATATTTAAAGTATCTAATAATAAAGATTTTATAATAAAGTTATATAAACTTATTTTTTAGGTTTTTATTATTAGGAATATAAAGTTAATCTCTAAATAAAAGATAATTTCTACTTTATATATATTTAATAAATATAATCTTTAGATATTAGGGTTAGTTTAGGTTTAGGACTTTTAGAATTAATTAAAGCTTTCTATCTCTTTTATATATCTTATTAAAGATTTCTTTTAAAGTAATAGATAGTTTATATAGAATATTATTAATAAATCTTAAAGATTTTTAGGATCTTTTAGAGATTAGTTTATATTCTAATAGAATTAGTTTAGATTTAGGATTATACTTTATTAGAGTTAATTTAGATTATTATATAGTTATAGTATTAATATTTAGATTATTTTAAATCTAGTTATCTAAGTTCTTTCTTTTTAGAATTATATAACTCTAGTATTAGAGTTATTTATCCCTCTTTTTAAAAAGATTTTCTAATCTTTTAATTAGGATATTAGATTTAATATCTTATTATCTAAAATAGTAAATAATCTTAAAATTAAACTAAGATAGAAACTTAGACTATTAGACTTATTATTAGTTTAAAAGCTTTATTATTATAAAGTATTTTAAGTTTTAATAATTAGTAATTATAGAGATTAAAAAGTTTATTCTCTTTAACTCTAGATATTATTTTTTAAAGTATTATATAATTATAAATAATTCTTAATTATAGATTTTATAATTATATTTTATTATAGAATACTTCTTAAAAAAAATATAATAGAATAAAGAATATTCTAGTTATTATACTATAAGATTATTTTAGTAAAGATATAGTTAGAAATATTAGTTTTAAGTATTATATTCTTTATCTAATTAAAAAGGACTAGAATAGAGATAGATATAAAAATAGATTTTAATATCTTAAATAATTTTTAGTAAATAAGATCCTAAATAAAGATAATATTTTTTTTAGTTAGATAGACTAGTTATATAGTTAGTTTTAAAAAATCTTAGATAAACTAATAGTAGAAGTTTATAAATCTTAGGAAGATTTATATATTAGTAAGATAAAATAAGGTCTTCTATTTAATAATTATATAAATCTTCTTTAGATCTATATAGAGACTATCTTATTTAATAATAATTCTTAAGAACTTTATTTTATATATATAGAATTTATATTTAAATAGTTTTATAAATAAACTAGTTTTATAGAGTTATTATAGGACTTTTTATATATATTTAATATATTTAGTTTTTATATAATTATAGATTAGGATATTATCTAGATATATAATATAGAATAGGTTTAGATAGTTATAAAGAGAGTTATTAATAAATCTTTAGAAGATTATAGAGACTTTAATAAATCTAAATAATATTATAAGGGATTTAAAAAGTTTAAGTCTTATATAAAATACTATAAGATATTCTTATCTAGTCTTTATATAGAGATTATTAAATACTAATATAATATTAACTCTTATAAAGAATTTTATTCCTTTTAGATTATTTAGAATCTTTTTTATTAAGAGTAGTAAGTAGTAGTTTTTAACTATAATTATATTTAAGATATAATAGTTTATATAGAATTATAGACTACTATTAGGTTTATAGATAAATAATATAGATAAGATAATAAGAAATAAACTTAAATAAATAAACCTTTTCTTTAGGTTCTCTATAATCTAGTCTTTTAGAATAGTAAACTCTATATAAGATATAGTATAGAGAGATCTAAATAGTAGTATTTTATCTTTTATTAGTTATATATTATAGTTATATAAGTAGTATAGAAATAGTTTATTAACTTCTTTTAAAGAGAATATATTAGTATAGTCTTAAAATTTAGTAGATAGATAATTAGTAGGATTCTCTTCTTTAGGTTTCTTATTTAAAATAGTTTTAATATCTTTAATTATTATAGTAAAGAGTTAATAGTTCTTTTACTTTTTAGTATATACTATATAGATATTTAAGTTTATAGCTTTAATATCTTAGGATCTTAGGTAGATAGATTAGTCTAATTAATTATAGAGGTAGGTTTTTAGAGGAATTTTATATATAATATAGATCTTTAGGCTTTATATAGTAATATTATAGTTTTTCTAGTAATATATATTATTAAACTTAACTATATAAATAATAAACTAGACTCTTAGATTATAGATCTTAAATTAAGATAATCTAAGAATAATTAAGTAGTATATAAGTTAAATAACTAAGAACTTAGTTTTTTCTTAGTATTTACTAGTAATTATCTTTATTTATATAAAATAGATTATCTATCTACTCTTAGATTCTTTGTTATTAAAGTCTTCTAGTTAGATTAGATTCTTTAGAAGTTCTTATATAAGACTATATTCTTTAGTCTAGTTAATATTAATAAAATACTTTTCTTTAGTACTACTATTAATTATTATATATATTAGAATTTCTTTCTTATTCTAGTTTAGGGTAATTAGTAATATAATTAGATTAAAGTATTAGATTTCTTTATTAATAGTAGTTCTTTAAGTAATAATAGTAAATAAATAGATTATATAGATTATATTAATTTAGTTATAGTTTAAACTAAGTGTACTTCTTTTAATAGTTTATTATATAAGAAATAGCTAGATAGTAAGGATTAAGGATATTATTTTAGTAAGATAGTATATTAATATTCTAAGGAAGTAAATCTTTCTATATAAGTAAAGTATATTTATATAAAGTATTAATCAAAATATAGATAGTTTTATATAAAATAGCTTTTAGCTCTATAATAGAAGTATTTACTATAGTCTTAATAAATTAGGTAGTTTAAAGTTAGATCTATAGGATTAGAAATAAATATAGATATTAAAGTAAGAGAACTATTCCTTACTATATAAAAGTCTAGATAGTTATTCTAAGTAAAGAATAAGTTATAAACTTATATCTATATTAATATTAGTTATATAGTAGGAGATTAGATTATTTTATTATAGTATATATATTAGTTTTTAAGCTTTTAGAAGAAAGTTATAAACTAATAGTATTTATAGATTAGAAGCTTATTATAAAGAAATATTTTATAAAGTTCTTAATTAATAGTTTATTCTAATAATATAAATAAGGTTCTCTTAAGTATCTTTTCTTTAAATATAAGATATTAGAATTTAGTAAAGAACTAGTTAAATTTTTTATTAATCTAATAGAATTAGAAGAGTTTATCTTAGATATTATTTATATAATTAGGATTACTAAAAATATTTTTAAAGATACTTAGGATTTCTCTATAATTAGATAAAATATAACTTTTATTCTAGATATATAGTAAGATCTAGATATATAGGATTCCTTTAAGCTAACTTATTATATATAATATTTAGTTTATTAAGATTAGAAATTAATTAAGATTTATAGTTAATTTTTCTTAAATCTAAGATATATATTAGTAGAGATTCTTATAATCTCTACTAAATATATAGAAGTCTAGGAGATATTTAAAAGAATAGAGAAATAGATAATATAAGAATTAGATAATAGAGATATTCTTAATACTAAAGCTAATAGTCTTTTAGTAAATACTTTAAGAATTAGATTTATATAAAAAGTATTTATAGTAAGAATAGTAGTTATTAGAACTTAATTATATTTTTAGTAGATAGATTCTAGTTTATAAGTATATTCTAAAAGATTTTCTTAAGCTTATATTAGTTTTTTTTCTTAGTATTTAAAATTACTATTTTTCTTAAATAGTTTATTATAGATTTATATAAGTTCTTTTTTAATCTAAATAATTTCTTAGATTAAGTAAATAATCTCTTATTAAATAATATAGTATTATTAATAATATAGATAGATTAGTTTTCTAATCTTTTTAAGATACTTATATATTTATCTATAATATATAAACTAGGCTTTAGGATTTATATTATAGTATTTAGTATAGGTTTTAAGATTTTTAGATAAGAATAGTAATAGAGAAGTCTCTATAGGCTCTAGTAGCTAGTCTATAATTAATAAATAGTCTAACTTCTAATATAAAGGTAGAAACTATATAGTATTAAGATATAGTAGGTAGTTATATATTAAAAGCTAATAGAATAACTTATATAGTAGTTAATATAAAATAATATCTTTTTTTTAAGTTAGTATATTTATATTACTATTATATTAATAGTTTACTAAAATATTTATTTTTACTATATACTTAAATATTATCTATTTCTTTTAACTTAATTTATAATAATATATTATCTTATATCTTTCTATCTACGAAATAGCTAGTAAGGTATAATTAATCCTATTATTATAAGATTCTTTTAGTCCTAATATATATATTTATGTTATTTGTAAGATAAGTTTAAAATATCTTTTAATAGACTATATTATATTTATATTATAGTAGTCTTCGTAAAAATAAAGGCTATATAAAGAATAAATATAGTATTTAAATTGTATATAGACTTAGTAGCTAAAAATAATATAAAATAATAATCTTTCTAGGTTTATTAATACTTAAAACTTAAATTACTACTAGTTATATAGTCTATAGTAATTATCTAGATATCTAATATATTAGTAATATTTAAAAACTAGCTCTTATTATATATTTATTAATTATATAGCTTTAGTAAAAAAATTTTAACTAACTAACTGTTAAGTGTATCTCAGACCTTTCCTCTGAGGAGTTGATTTTTGACATGCATATAAGCCATGGCAATCAAATGATATATCCTCAAAAGAAGGAAAGGTTTCGAAATCAACTTCAAATGAAATTTAGAACACTCTAGAGACGCACAGCGATCTCCACAGGAAAGTACAACTGTAAATTAATCAGGGCCAGCGCTATTCTTATAAGCTAGGTTATTATGCATAGAGTCTTTCATAGCGCCGGACATGTGGGATGTCCTACCCCCTCGGATGAGCCCTTTTTTTATTGTTGTTCAAAGCATTTCACTTCGCCTGCAAAGCCGCTACCTGCTTTTTCAGTAGGTCTATCTTGTGATGTGTCTCCCAAGCATCTTCCATATACCTCTGTATTTTACCATTCCAGGGATCTTGTTGTCCGAACTTCTTATCCATCAGCCTAACCACCCATGTCAGAACTAACTGATCTTTTGAAGAAAGCTTTTCAGAACTCACTGTACTCGGCTATCTAATCTTGGGAAGGGTGAATTTCAGAAAGAATTGAGCCAGAGGGGCGTTTTCACTTACTCTCTAATAAACGTGCCCACCAATGCGATTGATACATCAGAGGTATCTCGCTGCAAATCATCTATGCCGTTCAATACCAAGCTTGGAGATGCATGGTCCCAGTCGGCATTTTTGGCCTCCTCTGTCGCCACATGACCACCATCCCGTGGTGAACCTGGTGATTGGACTTCGTATTCAAAAGCACAATCTTCGCCAGCTTCACTGGCCGGTGACACAGGGCTACTGTAAACCGAGAAGACATGCTGCTATTATGAACTGAAATTCCCACGCCAGGTCGCTGTAAATGTGGCTGGAGCTATGCTAGGCTCATACTCAAAGGCCATGATCCTTGATTATATAGAAGGGGAAGATTTTTGGAAGAAGACTTACTTGGAAGGGTAAAAGGCTTTATATACGCTAAAATAGATTGGTGTTTACTCAGAAGCACAGTTCCAGTCATGACTCACCTGTCACAGACGCTTGAAATTTCGATTGAGAGTTGCACGCAGAACAGAATCTTGTGCTTTTTCATATAGAATATTACTCATTACACGCTACGTGTCAGTGCTCGAACTTGTGGATACAATCGAGAAGTGGGAGGCCAGATATAGACCTCATATAGAACAGCTAGAAACGCGGATCCTCAGGCTCGGGAAAGGTGACCTGGCGCGCGTATCCGATCTTGACAATCCCCAAGTGTCTGAGAGGCTGAAAGTCCAGGAGACGTGTTGGAACTGTGCTAGAAATGAACAGGCCTTCCCCAACGAGGAAGAAAGCTTCAAGGGAATTCGCTTACGGACTTTCTCTCGTAATATGGTATGCGCACCCTACGATAACCAATTAGTATCGGAACCTGGTGGAGATAAATCCGCATTTACCTTCCTCTTACCCAAGGACGATAGCTCTCTGCTCGTCTATTCTATCGTCCCCGTGCGCGAGGGAGATTTTCTAGGTTTTTCGCTGGTAAGATTTATTTCTCGGAAACCTAGAGTCCCACACACGGTATTTGCGGTCCTGTCGACAATCTGTGGCTCGACTATTCACAAGTCACTAGCACGCTGAACCAAATGCTCGTCTCCGAACCTGGTGGTTCCGCAAATGTTCGAACCCATTAGGAATTAATCTATGATGATGTTGACCCAGAGGGCTGCGCCTCGTAGAGAGTTTCTATAAAAGCCACTAAGTCCATAATACCGTTTGAACCTCTCGTTCGTGAGGCTACTCAGCAAGAGCAATATCTATTGCACTCATCTCCTGAGCATGCAAAGAGAGGCTTTCTCAAACTTTGTGAAACTGACTGAAAGTACCTTGAACATCTTAATTGCTATTCATAATCGGACGAGGCAATTTTCAGCAACGCGCGTCCTCGACGTAGCCCTGCTCATTCAATATTTGGCCGGTGTAGGAACCATTAGGAGACGACCAGAGAGTCCACACCTTCACTCGATGGACAGATGACAACCCAGGAAGTTCAGGATGTTGGAATAAAGATACAGGCCCCATCAACAGTATTCAGGTAGCGCATAATTGGATATATTGATACCTCGCGAGATTGAACGTGGTTCTTACAGTCTGAGTCTTCATGGTTGAGGTCCAAAGCTAAATCCTGTAGTATTGTATGCGCTAGTTGAGATTGGATTTCGGAGAAAGGGGTGAATTGGGATCAATTGTATAGATTGTTACACTCTATCTGAGCCAGCCGCCGCGTTCATTGAGGCCTTGGATATAGGGCGGTAATTGCTGTCATATTGTCACGCAGCAGCAATCGCAAGTTGAATAATTAGTTTTCACTATTGCAAGTAACGTAGTTTCACCAATCAACGATATCAGATACTACTACCTACTGAAGCGGGAAGGGATTCTCGAAGCGGCACGATCAGAACGCGTGGGTCGAATGGGACATGGATATGGTATCAAGACACCACCACCACCATGTAGCGCTTTGGTAGAGAGCAGGGCGAATTGCGAGAGTGTAACGTGTATATTGAAGCTATCGCTGGTCTTCGAATCGAAGATATCTACCTCGGAAATCCAAAAGGACTAGCCTGCTATTCTAGAATCGACCAATCGTAGTATGATGCCCATTTCAACCGCTTCTCCCCACTAGCCTATATACTCCTTAAGGTGGAATTGTTCTCTCGCGACGATGGCCGAAGCCTAAATCCATACCAGTAATGGACAATACGACGTTCCATCACTCCGAATTAATTACACAGATATGTGCAATGCGGAGGTGATATTGGGTTGTCTGCCGCCTTATTTAAATCCTATTGAAGAATTCCTCGCTGAGGTCAAAGATTTTCCTAAACGTCACAGGAGCTACTATGAAAGGGATACTAACCGAGGCTTTGATGTCTCCTCTAATGATGTATCAAAATGGTCGCTGCAAAAGAAGAGAGTCCTAAAGGCCATGTTCGCCATGCAGGCTTGAAGTTAAGGGTTTTAGGTGGGTAAATACAGGCATATCAACGGTGTGAAGAATGTATCATAGAACATATACTTGCGCTACATGAAGTCAAGCAAGAGAAGACCAAATTGATACATAAGAGGACCCGTGACTTAAATCAAGAATCTGGCCGCCTCTTTGCATGACTTGGATATGACGTCATATAATCTGATATCAATACTTCAACCGAATCTCCTTCAAACAAGAGTCTCCATCAACAACACTGGTTGTTTCGCAAATATCGACGATCATAGTTTGGCCCTCCGGGAGCTCACGAACAATATCTTCGTCGATTATAACCTTCAAATCATCGTTGATGATGCGCAATAAGCGCACAATTTTTGACGGTTCAATGTGATACTTCTCACAGATCTCCCTCTTCATATCTTCGGCAGTGCGTTCTGATAAGTAGATCGCACAGAAGACGTTATTCGCCTCGTTGCTGGGACGAATAAAGAAGCAGGCAGCTAGATTAAAGTAAGTTACAATACCGATGACGTGTGGATAACAGATACCTTACTTAGTTTCAACTGTTGCTCAGCTATTAGTTGACGTGACAGGTCAAATTTACGACCTTCAGTACATGTATCTCTAACACAGTTCGCCGAGTCCTGGTCTCTTACCAAGTCAACAGGGTACTGATCAGGATTATCCTCTTTATCACTACGGAGGGCAAGAACGCTGACTATACAAGTTGACGATAGCATACTCTAGCTAATAGCCAATTTCCTCCGCAGGTCGTCCTCTATCGAACCATCTCGAAACCTCAACCCAATATACCCATAGTCCAATTTCTTGGGCTCCGTCATATCCGTCTTTATATTGTTTACGCGCCGGCGTTTACCGATTCTACCTCCTAGCTTCACATCTTTAATTTACTGCTCTAGCGTTCTAATCGACTTTCGAATATATTTAAGATCATTAGTAACTTTACTTTCAGCACCATGATCCCGGAACAGCTTTACCTTACAATAACACACCTCGGACTCACGCAGGTTACTATCGCCTTCCAGTGACAGAGGTTCGGTCTTCGCACAAAGTCGAACCGGAATACCTTTCACTCCTTTTGAATAAGTAAAATCGGTTGACAGAAAATTGAATCGTAAGGGTATAGTACACCCTTTGGTGCTTCAGCTCGTTCAACGTTCCAGGTAATACAAAATCTATCAATGGCCACTTACTCAAGCTATATATAGCGAGGATCATTATCTTCGGCATTAAACTCAACTGCGAAGAGTTCATCCTCGCGTTACTTCGCTTCGGTTGTGCCACAGCCCTCTTTCCACAATTGCCAGTATAATGCGGGATTCGACCGTAGCACAGCGTCATCGAAAGAAATACGGATATACGTTCAATATCGGAACACTTCAAGAGGAATTGCTGGCGGATTCAAGTCCATGACTATAGTACCATAGACCTGCCCCTTATTTAGATATAATATAGGAATCTCTTCTACAGACTTAACCATAGCAGTCGGAGTTCGCAGTGCCACGTGGTAGCGGAGCCTATACCCTAATCAGTAGAGTGATCGGTCGCGTAAAGGGATAAAAGAAAACTGACTTTTCGCCTTGCGTATGTGATCGTGAATGAGGAATAGCATCAGGGGACGAAGCCTCGGTGAGCGCAGCAGAATTTGTTGCCGATTCAAACAAAAATTGGTCAAACGTTAGGTCAACCTCGATTTTTTCCATTGCTCTGTGATTCCAGTCCTAATATGCGAATTCAGTTGGCGCATATATTGGTTATTGGATATCCGGAATCATTTAAACGTTATACGGCGCTATAAATTACGTGCCGAATTAGTTAAGGTCTGGCTGAGTATTTGCGACAGTCAGGAATTCGGGGTCCACGTAGCTCACAATTCAGTGTCGTTGTTCGAATAAAAGAACTTTGATCCCTATAGGAGAGAATGCGGCATCAGAAGTGAATCCACTCAAGGGTCCAACATAATATAGCACGAAGCAGTCACATACCTTGATTTCGATACTAGGGATAGAGGCAGCCGCCCATCCTACCAAAAGGGAAGTTCCCACGACACGGTTGAACGAAACTCGCATATTGAGGGGTAAGCAGATGGGATTAAGATGTAAGATAAACAAATGTGTAGAGCTGAAGAGAAGTAAGGAGGGGAGAAGACTCGAGGAGAAGAAGTCTAGAGGGAAGTTGCTGTAGGAAGTAAGGAAGTCACCAGCCACAGCCGGGGGTACATCCTCCACTACACACCTTCGCATACTAAGCCAGGTACCTACAGTACTACTAGTATACACAGCGTACTAGAGTAACTCCCTTTAGCAACATCAACAGTAGAAGGACTCTTATTATTGATGAATCTTCTAATTCTTGATTGCTAAGGAACTAAGCTGTGGTAGAAATGCAGTGAAAAAGGTGGATAGATATGTGCGATTTGTACTCTCACTGAATATCACAACATTCATAGTGCTAATATTGAACAAAAGGACTTGGCACATAGTAAGAGATTGAAACCTTGAGTGTTCCTGAACCTAATTAAGTCAGCGAGTTTATTAACAGCGGTCGAAGGGCTCTGCCTGCAAAGTTTCCCGTTTCTAGATATGAATCGCCTGAATCCCTGGATGTGGTCCCAATCATTATCATAATCTAAACTGATCTCGAGGAACAACCGTTCTGTTAGTAAACATCCGTACAAAAGCTACATCATTCCTTTAGACTAACTTTGTGACATATCATCATTCATCCCAGGGGCTATGGATCCCTAGTACGAGACCTGTATTCACGGGCCAGTAAACGAAAAACACGCGAAGCCCGGTGAATTTGATACTACCATATCACGGCCATTATCAAAATTGACACCTTGACTGTAAGTATAAAAGCGCGGTATTTTGTTTTTTCCCTGACAAAGCTTGCCAGGTTTATAAATTTATTGTTACCCACTATAGTCCTTAGTTATTCCAAGCCGCCAAGACAATATTTATAACCTTTTCTCGACCTTCCATAGACCTATATCAAATTTACATATAAGATATTAAGAACCCGAAGCACATTATAATAATTTATCTCGGCTAACTTCCTAATCCTCAAGTAACCACGATACTTCCTTAAACAAAATAGGTTTCGTAAGGAATATATTTACTCCTAAGTCCAATACCTAGGACATATCACAAGAGCTACTTATTCCAATAAACACAATAATCTTAGCCGGATTGCAGCCATTCCACTCTTTTTCAATCGTATATATAGCACAAGGCACTTCGAAGCCATTCATCACTAGCATATATATGTCCATAAAAATAAGATCATACCCTAACAGCGATTCTCTAAAGAGGATAATAGCCTCCCTGTCATTCTACACTGCATCTACAGCCGTAATATTACACTTTTTTTATAAAAGCCCTTATAAGTCGAAGGTTAATATCGTTATCATCGACCAACAATACCCTAGGTTTATTTCAAAATACAAACAAAGAGATAAAGGATATAGAGAAATTAAAAGAAAGAACATAGAGACTAAAGGAATCATTTACAGAAGAAAGGCGATATAAAACTTCTATATCCTAAGACTAGCAATATATATTCCAATTCGCAGGATCCAGGCTCTAGCAGGAACCTACCTTTATATCAAGCTTTTCAGACAATATTTCCGGAGAACTCCCAATAAATAGATTCAGACTTAGTGGCCAGGATCGTTAACGGCTCACAAGCCTTTACTCAGAAAGATTCAAACGCAGCGCAGGTAATGCCGAAGATCCTAGCTTTAGGTAGAGACAGTTCAAAATTCCTCTAGCAAGGTTCTGTAGACCACATAGTCACCGGATGATAACCATAGAATCGGCAAGGTACAGCCATTGTATTCTAACGTCGCTAGAGCTACCTATACAATTGCGGAAAATAAGCATTCGTAGCAATACGGAGTACAAACCTAGGAATCCTTCTATAGACAAATCGCTTTCGTTTGCAAGTAAAACATTAATTAGTTCATTCACGGACCAAGACACTAGCCTCAGGCCATACTAGTCTATAATATAGTAGACAATTAAAGACCAGAATAAATACTCGCCAAGATAAAGGGGATCTACCCCGCATATTGCGACATACTTCTCGGTCAACTTCATTTGACGTAATTAAGAAGGTACCACAAGTGGCTCCTATTCCAGCTTTTCGGCGCAAGGGCGTCGATAGGAGGCTTTTTTCTCCGACCGGACACTCAAGTAGGATTATCACCCTAACAGTAGTCCCTTCGCCGACTCGACTTTTGATCCTGATATTTCCATCCAGCGTTCTCACAATTTCACAAACGATTGATAGACCGAGGCCAATACCTACCAAAAGTATGTCCTCTTACACAAAATAGAGTGTATAGGCATGTTTGGAGAAATTCGTTTAACGTACCCTTACCTGTACCTAAAACGGTCAACATCACTAAGTCCTCAAGGCCCTAGCACCATGAACGGCCTTTTAAGTTATCAGTCGCATAGATTAAGACGGATATCTGGCCCTTTTTGGTATATTTCAGTACGTTTCCGAGGAGATTCATGATTAAACACCTCAATGGGCCGGGCTAGACATTATAAACCCAGTCTTTATCGCTAATATTGACAACCACCTCCACACCTGAAGTGTTCCCTATGGATAACGTGGATAACAAGGTCTGTGACTCACCGATCGGATGGTCCGTAATCTTTGTTGAATTTTAGATATTGGAATAGCCCAAGCACACGCTATCCACCACTTCCTCCGTCAAGATAGCAACGTTCATTAAAATAGTTAGATCCATCCACGCTAGGAGCCAGTCTAGGGCTTTTGGTCTCCATAGATCCTTTCTATGTTTATACCTCTTCTTCTACCTCTCCAATGCGGCTATATTCGGTCATCATAGAAGAAGCAAAGCCAAACATCGAACTCAGATCGACTACCCGACTGAAGACTTATGTCGTCTGTGGGGTCCAGGAGAAACAGCCTGCGAGCCACCACAGATTTATAGCATTCCATAATAGAACAAAAATAACCTAACTAGCGTCAGGGAAGTAGCTCTTCAGCTTGCTGGCCTCCAAGATCCTAGATACTTCATTATATTCACGGGCGACGCCAACGGATTGCTCTTCATCCGAACTAGACAAACTACCGTCACAATAGAATGACCAGAGTCGGCCTTTGGGATAACGACAAGATAGTTGATTGAGGAAGGAATTGTCGAATTTGACAGCTAGGTGAGATATCTCGGAGCCCGTCTGGTATAAGAACGGATCCTCTCGGGTAGACAACGCAAGAACCGGCCCCGAGGTATTCGTATCAGTAAAAGAAGACTGGTTATGGGGGCTGCTATCGGGCGATTCATCCCCAGTCTCCAAAAGCATCACGCTCCCAGCCCCATCGAGGTCCAGACTTTGTCGTAAGAGGTTTGCAGCTCGTTGAAAAAGCCAATCAGCATTGCTCGATACCATCAATCCGTTATCGCCTTATCTCGAGCTTTGTGACGGCGGAGCTGGACTTCCTGATATGCCAATTTCCGACGCCTCGTTTGAGACTTGACTCGAAGATCTTCGGTCGTCGGTTTTAAGGGGCGTCTCATCGTTGTCAAACTCCGTTGTGTAAGGATTGGAGCCCCTGGTTGGAGAGCTCGTGGATTTACTCGTGTTACGATACGGTGATGCATGTGAGTGTGTGCCTGGGCTGTAGCCTGAACTTTGCGACCGAGAGCCAGGAACATTATGGCCGAAACTGGAATTTCCGTCCACAAATTGACGGAGGCCCTGCGATAGCCGCAAGGCCCGGCGTCCTTCAACGGCCTGGCGACTCATATGTAAGTACTCCATGACCGTCGCTGCCACAGTCCCAAGGATATCCTTCTCGATACCATCCAGTCCTTCACGGGGTTCGGGATCCAGTATAAACAAGTATCCCAGGTTGATGTCGCTATCGCTCGTGAGGGGTGTGCCGGTATAAGAGCGGGAATGTGGCTCGCCTCGTACGAAGGGAAGTTCCTGGAAGCGCTCCTCGCGTTCAAGGTCATTTATGATAAGAAAAGGATATGTTCCGCCATCCCGTTCGTCTAACCTTATGTTGACTGTTTCCTATTTGAAATAGACCGGTATTATGAGAGTGGCTAGTAAATGATAACGACGATAGGGTTATCCTCATCTCACAAATATTCCAGGTACTTAATAATGTGGGTATTCTAGCAAACAGGTTGTCTCACTTGTCACCAAATAATATTGAGCTTCCCAGGTTAGTTGTTCTCGTTGCTTCCGCTAACACGAACTGAGAGTCGCGGTTCAAGATTCTAAGAGAAATAGGTCAGATCAAGATCCTCTTTTGAAAATGGAGAGTATTACGTGATTACAGCACGTTATACATTCAGGCGCAAGGCGGCTAGCTGTGCCAGAGATGTCAAAGTTGTATTTGGGCTGTACAGAGGGCTGTTATCAATGGAGGCTGTCTTAGAGGCCTCATTATCCACAGCTGAGTCCACAAAATCTAGAGATCGTTCGATCGAGGATACACCAATTGAAGTGACCGAATGTTCACCAGCGGACCACGTGGTATTCAAGACTACTGGATTTTCTAGCTGGAAGTAACGATAGACCTCGCGAGTTTGACGATCAGCTTCATAGTCGCACAGAGTCTGCTCAGTGAAATCGTCCATTATAAGCCCATGCAAGTATAAATTAGGATAGCCGTTTTATGGGTCGCCGTTTTTAATGTCACGGAAAAAAAAAGAACTGTAAATAATTTAGGAGAGAAAGAGGGAGGAGTTACATTTCAACGCGGTTAGGAGTGATCTAGTGACCTGCAGCTCCCACTAACGTAGACAGCTTCCAGACCGAATAGTCAACAGAGGGAAATAATCTTCAGAAGCAGTGAAAATTCCATAGTAAAACACATTTAGAGACAGTTTGCAAAATTAACATAGTGAACATAGAGCGAAGTGAATCATTAAAGATATCCTTCTAGTAAGACTCTTACACTACAGGCAGAACCGCAGTTTCGGGTTCCCATACAGGTCACACATATCTCGGTCTTAATATCTCAAAGCCCGCAAGGACCACAATACTAGTATATACAAACAGTATAGATATACCGAGTAAGCGTCGCGTCTTATTTTCGCTTACCCAGATACCAGTGCTGATATTCGTGCCAGCCCCGCATTCAATTTCAACAATATTAACTTGAATTTGACCATCGCTTGAAGCATGAATTTCACAACAGTAGTAGAACTAGTATCTTTCATGGATCTCGATCTCTATACTATCAACTTCTGAATCAATAATCTCATAATCCAATTCTCGGAACTGGACTCTTGTTCGACGCGCGCTAGTTCTTCATGGATGCCCTTCTCCAGACCCTTCAAGGTTCGCAATGTGTATTGTAAGCTTCCGTGCTTGTCCATTTGTGCCATAATAGCCTTTTTGTGTGAAATAGACAACGAGGTTGAGGACCTTCCTGACTTCAAAATACCCCGTAGTATTAGGTCTTGTGGGTTGGAATTCCAAGCATGAACGAGCGGGAATGAGAATTTGCCCTCGTCAAGGTCTTCGCAGAAGCCCTTGCCAGTCGTATACTATTTTGATGTTAGTATATTTGCTTCAAAGATAGTATTCTTCGAGACTTACCGCATCGTCAGTCAAGTTCTTATAGTCATCTCTAATTTGGAAATACTGTCCGAGCACGGTGAGGAGATCCAATGAAATTGTTCTAAAATGTCAATATTGGAGAGTAGTCGTTTTCTATTAGAAGACTTACTTCTTGTGTAGTTCGTATGCGCATTCATTCATCAAGCGGGCAAGTAATCGAAACAAACCGCCAGTTTCTGAAGCTGTCAGTATTTTCTTGCTCAAAAGCAGTGAATTCTCATGGAAAGCGGGGACTGACTCTGATTTATCATTTCAAGATACTCTGCCTCAGAAGGGCACTCGCCTTGCTGTGTCCAGTGCAAGTCAAAGCTTTGTCCAATGAATAGATTGCGAAGTTCTTCTATAACGATTCCCAGGCAACGCGGATTATTCAATTTTTGTATGTCATTCATAACATCAATGAGCAAGAAATTGGCGCTGTTAATCGTGGAAGGCGCTCCAAATATTGTATGGGTCGCAGGGTGGCCACGTCGAAGATCTGAAGAATCTTCAATGTCATCCAGCCTATGCCAATTAGCAATGAATCGACATTATCTGATCTCCGATACTTACATGAGAGATGAACTGTGAAGCTTCTGCGCGATCACTTTGATGGTGTGCACAATTGAGACTGGGAGTACAAGCCAGACATTCAGGGCGTCAATTAGAGCTTCACGGACCCCCTTGGAAGGAAGAGAGGTGATGTATTTGAAAGGGGCTTGCAAGGGCTATGATAATTTATCAGCATTCGCACTTTCCGAGATAAAAAAAAGATAAGAGCTGACCTCGTCGCCAAGAGTGGCCCGGCTTTCAAATTTAGACAAATCGGTCGAGTCATCATCAGACTGCACCGATGAGCTGCTCGACAGACTCGATCTAGGTGTACCACCCGAGGATGCCTGACTGGTTTCGGAGTTGGAGTTTTCAGAGAGATCAAGAACATATTTCTCTTGAGCATCGGATGATTTATTGGATCCAAAATTTTCTTCGGTGCATTGCCTCCTCTGGTTGGCTTGGGCGTCTAAGGCATCCTGAGCTTCAGGACAGAGCTCGGGATGGTAGCGCGGGCAGCGCAAGCTCCAAGCGACATTGCCTGGGATTTGATATGCCTGCGCCTTCAAATATCTTGCCAAGTTGGTCGAGCATTTCTCCCGGTCGGAGGTGAACGCCTCCACCTTCTCGTAGTATTCAGCTTCATATCGGCGAACTGTTTCCTTTGTTTTTTCCTTTGCCTGCGGTATCGAAAGATTTTCCCACTGCATATAGAGCCAAACAAGACTTGTCATTGCCGTATTGCTCTGGCCTTTTCCCTCTCTTTCATACTCATCCCACTCGACGTCAAATGAGAAGTAATCATTGACTAGTCCGAGTGCCGCGAAGCATGATCTGGTTATTGGAGCGGCCATCTCCCATTCCTCTTCAGTAAGAAGAATGCCCATGCCAAAACACATGAGTTTGGAAACGAAGCTGGCAATTCAATTAGCATTGTCTCCCTTTTTCCTGTGTTACCTTTTGCATAAATTCCAACTGAACTCACGGTGCACCGGTATCAATAATTCGATAGTCAACATATTCGTCAAGCGTAGCGAACAGGGAGGTGTTGTCCCGAGATGCAGTCGTGGCAACCATTTCCTTCCAGGACTGTATAAAAACTTCGGCGCAGGGCTTGTCGATGGCCAGGAGCTCCAACAGCATTTTCGATTGTATTTGCTTTGTGCCGGTTCCTGATCGCACGGTGCGGTAGTCTGTTTCGCTTAAAACGAGGTTTTCCGTTCCGGAGTCTAACTTTAAATGAAAGTCAGCATTCAGGAATTCAAGTTGGTGACTGCCTGTCTCTTACCTGCGCTTTTGACACCGATTCAAGTACGTTGTCGTAGAGAAATGCGTCTGAAAAGAGACCGTCAGTGACTTTCCTCAATCCGAGATGTGATAGTAACTGCTTTCTTACATTCGAAGATATAGCAGACCAACGCGAGCCGATCGGGGTTGCACATAGGCAAAACCACCGACCCAAAATTGCCTTCGAATGGATTGCAGCTCCCCCAGCGTTCTATCGGACCAATGTATGTCTGCCAATCTTCTCTGAGCCGGAGACAGCCCTCGTCTGCCTTGTCTTCATTATTGTGTCGCCGTAGCGAGTATTGGTCACAAAAGCCCCCAATGCTTTTAGTATCTCTCCGCGGCTTGAAGGAGGTGGCCTCCTCGTTAAGGAGTAGTTGACAATCCATGTTTAATACTGAGTTTCAAAGACGAACTCACAACGCCAGTCCCCGGGTGCGACAGGCGGGGCATTTAAAATCCCACCATAATGCGAAAATAATGGAGAATGAAAGCATGACTTCATCAGGAACTCGTCGCACCCTGATATCTCGACCATGTGTGGGAATTGCAATCGAAGTTAGCCAGTAGTAGCGGCGTAAAGTTGGGTTGGTGGACTACCCGTCATCGCTGACACCCGAACCAAAACAAGTTATACATAGACGGCTGAGAACTCAATGAGTAGGCTGCACGGGGATCCCCTTTTTCATGAGTCTGTTGATACGCAGCCGCGATCGGAAAGTGGATCTTTCCTTACCAACCCTTGGGAACAGCAAGGCTGGTTCGCCGGGTAGAAGCCGGCAACAGATTGACCCACAGTTCCGTCATCCGTCCATTCCTCGAGCTGGAACAGATCTTTTACGTACTCGCAACCTTCAGCTTGGTATAAAATATACAAGGTGACTTCACTGAGAATAGCTTACATCACATGAAACCTTATGTTATAACAGAGATAAAGATAAGTGCCTAGAGTAGCAAGGGTCTCCCTACATATAATCTTGTAACAATCACATCACAGCTGAAATTCAAAACCTGTTCAACGCAACTCAATCTTGAGCACCTTGCGTTAGGTCCAGACGATCCGACCCACCGACAAACATGCGGGGTTTTGCTCTTCATGGCCTGCTGGTCTGAATTAATTCCATTGCGCTCATCCACTGAGCCTCTATTATCAACCCGCCTTCACATAAATCTCAGATTAACTTAAAACTGGCCCAGATATGAGCTCGGAGCCTGCATTTCCGCCCGAGGAGTATTCTGCTTCGTTCCAAGCTCTCACTCGCCTTTGCGCTGATAAGGGTCTGTTGAGTCGGCCGAAAGGCATCGAAACCAGCGACCGCTGTGATGGCTTATCCGACTACCCAACATTATTGCGATTCTTGATCGCACGAAAGAACGACCCCAATGATGCGGTAAACCAATTACAACAATCCATCGATTTTCGGGACGAGCGAGATATTTTGCATTTATACGAAGTCATAGATACTGAGGATTTTGAACAAGCCCGTCAATTCGTAAGACTGCCTCGGCCCCCGACGCGCAATAGCAGATCACTGACCTGAGATAACACAGTATCCACACTGGACAGGAAGAAGAAATAAGCAAGGGCTTCCAATTTGTTATTTTGATATTTCTAAGCTTGACAAAGGCGCTTTGAATTCGTGGGAAGAAAGTCGTAAGTCCGCCGGCTGGAGCTTATCAAAATGTGAGACCGGAGGCTCCCCGAAGCCTGATATGCTGCAAATGGCCTCCGTCTTTCATGATAGTCTCGTCCGATTCGTCCTTCCACTATGCGCCATGATGACCGATCGGTCGAACTCGTCTACGCCAATCTCGAGTTCTATTTATCTCGTCGATGCGTCCGGTCTGGGTTTAAAACAAGGTTGGAATCTCAAAACATTCGCCCAAGAGATAAGCTGGCTTCTCTCGACATGTTATCCGGAAACAATTTTGAAAGTCTTTGTAAGCCTTGAAAAAGAATATCACCTTCAAAATGGACCATATTCTGACAACCAACAGGTTTGCAATGCGCCTTCGTATTTCGCAACGGTCTGGAAATACCTCAAGAAATGGGTAGATCCCAACACCGCCGAGAAAATCGAGGTGTTGGGCAGTCATGAAGTTTCTGATGCTCTGAAGGAACATATTGACGATGCCAATATTCCCAAGTCTTTCGGGGGGACTTTGATTTTGATCACGGATCACTTCCCGCGCTGGACGAAAGTATTCGCGATCGTCTGTCGTGGAATTCCCCACAACAATCTTTGCCTTTAGGTCCTCTCAAGTTTTGTGAAGCTGCGAATAAAAAGCTTGAGGCAATGGCCGTAGGAAGCTTGGGAGGGTTGAAACGTAATGACGTTATTGCAACGATCGACTTAGGTGAAGTTGAGTGCTTCTAGCGAGAGCGCAGAAAATATGACTTTGAACTTGAACGCAACCCATCTCCCTAAGATGAATGCCGCGCACACACACTAATTATTGATGCGTTTGTCGAAGGTCTTGGCATAGTTATATTGATGGCCTAACTATAGTCGGGCCCATCACACCCCCCCATGTTCCTTCCGCATTAACAAGTCTTAGTAAGGGGGGGTGACGAGTGGGTCTCTAGAGAAAGTGGGTCTAAGACGTCACCCCCTCGCAAATCTCTAATCTTTGAGATATTTAGATCGGCTTTTCGATAAAGTTTATCAATACTATCTCAATTATTATAATATTAGATAATATTCTAAGATCTATTAATATAAAGGGGTAACCCTATTAAGTTTGTGTTTGAGGAATTTTAGTTTTGATGGGGGATGATAAAGCTAAGGACTGTAGATAGACTATTCCTCTTTAGGATATCTTATCTTTAATAAGATAAGATAATCTTATCTATCTTATTTTAATTACTCTAGAGTAACTACTCTAATCTATTAGAGTAGTATTTTATTTAGTTTAATAGTAAAGATGTTTTAATAAAAATAAGTATCTTCTAGTAGAGAAGCCTAGTTATAGCTAGTTAAGTTAGTTAGTGTAAAGGGCTGAGACCAAACTCAATTCAATTTGATAATGCTAATAAACTATCTATCTAAAGCTTAGAGAGAAGGGGAACTCTTTACTATATATTCTATAGTAATAGTGCTGAGGTAGTATTATTATGTGGCTATATAATTCCCTATAGGCTCTAGGCTCTAGCCTGTTATAGTACTCTCCTTCTTCCTATCGGTATAGAATAACCTTAAAATATTAAATATTAATATCAAAATAACAAATCAAAACTATGAAGGGCTAAAGCAGAATTTATATCTAATTAAGCTAGGCTATATACTATATATAAAAAACTTAAAGAGAGAATTACTAAGTAAGTGTGAAGGGCTAAAGCAGAATTTATGTTTAATTGAGCTAGGCTATATACTATGTATAAAAAGCTTAAAGAGAGAATTACTAAATAGATGTTCTATATATTAGGTTATTATAGTTATATATACTATATAACCTTATACTAGGTATTAGCCTATAATAGTATCTCCTCTTTAGGATAGTCCTCCTTATATATATTATAGTTATATTCGGTTGTCTTCGGGCCTATAATAGAGTCAAAATAGGGCTGAATTGTCTTTTAAAAGTATTTAATATAGAGTAATCTTAAACATTATTAAGACTCTACTAGATCTGTTCTACCTAATCTATTTATTTTACTAGGACTTTATTATAGTATTCTTAATTAATTTTCTTATATCTTATATCTATTATCTTTTCTACTTTATATTTAAGTTTCTTATTAATTAGTATTAGTAAGGGATATAAATTATTTATAATCTATAGTAGAAACAGGTCTAAAATAATAGGTTTAACTAGCTTTATATAGAATATTAAATAAATATTAATAAATATCTTTAATTATACTATATAAGGTATAGAGATATCTAAAACTTAATATTAGATATATAGCTAGTCTAGCTTCTTTAATTATTATTATATATATATATTTTATAAATTTAGCTATACCTAGTTATCTTTCTTATAGACTAGTGAGATAAATTTATCTAATTCTCCCTATATATTTTATATGTTACGATCTGTTACGTTCATTTATATATAGTAATATCTATATCTATATCTATTACTATCTATCTATAGTTATCTAATCGTATATAATCAGATATATCTATTTACTATATTTGTTTACTAATATATATATATTAACTATTATTTCCTCTAACTTAGTAATATATACTTATTTATACCTAAAGATCTTATATAGTAGTATTACTTTGAAGATAATGCTTTTTATAGCCTATTAGGGACTACTAGGGGTGTAATATAAACATCCGTACAACCCTAGAAAAAACGATTTAAAAGATAATAAGATCTACCAAAGGGGTCTTAATATAATAATAGTATATAAAAGCTTAATACTATATATATATAGCTTTTATCTAAAGGAATTCAAAAACCAAAGTTTATAGGATAAGTATAAACTACTATAATCAGATAATTAAAGCTCTAAGTATAGATAAGATATAGTAAATCCTATAGATCTATATACGTTAGCGCTTTATTTTTAAGCTATTATATTATATTATATCAACTATACCGTTTCAGAGTATTCTTCTAAGCAAAACCAGAGACTAGTAATTAAGAACTATAATATAATTATCTCTAAGAAAAGTAAAAAGAGAAATATAGTAAAGATTTAATATCTTTAAAAGAACTTTACTATAAAAAAAGAAAAGTCAATATATTTAATTTTACTAAAGAAAAGGCTAGAATATATTAATTATAATAGATAATTATTATCTATATAAAGTTACTAATAATAGATTAGAAGATTACTAATAAGCTCTATCTATAGATAAGTAAACTATATATATACTTTCTATCTTTCTATTAATACTTATAGAGACTTATATAAATATATAGAATATTAATAATAACCTAGTAGCTATATCCGAAATTATTATCTAAACTACTACTATATTTAAATATAAATATATAGAATAAGAAATACTATAAGCTATTTAGTATAATATAATATCTAATACTATTTATATCTAGTTAAGTATATTAGCTACTAAACGGATATTAATAAAAAGTATCTATATAATTAATAAATACAATAGCTAAATTCAGGATAACACTATATAAAAGTATCTCTATAACTATAAATACTACTTTTATAAGATTATATAGATTACTAGAGTATAATTAGAAGAATATAATAAGATAATTTAAACTAATAGAGCTTTTAAAGGAAAAGTAGCTTAGTTTTAGAAATATTATAAGTAATATATTATAGTTATAGATCCTAACTAGGAAGTTTATATATTTATAATATATAGGATATAGATTAAATATAAGTTCTTAGAATATCTTAGTAAAGAAAAATAATAGGACTACTTCTAGAAGTATTATTAAGAAGATTATATCTTTATTAAATATATAATAGATCTCTAAAAGACTATAGCTAAATATAGGATTAAGATATTAGAGGCTATTCTAATTTAATTCCTATAGAAAGGTATAAAAATATAATTATAGAAGTATTAGATAAAGGACTAAAATTATTTAATAAGACTTATAAAGATAATTAAGTATTTTATATAGTTTAAATAAAAAACTATAATCACTAGCTATCTAGAAAAGAAGAATAGAAGTAATAATCTATATAGTAATTAGTATAATCTTAATATAATAGACTTAGATATTCTTAAGTCTATAAATAAATTAAAGGATAACTAATAGAAAGAAACTTAAATATATTTTAATTATAATAAGAAAGGATATATTAAATAGAATTATTAATTATCTAAGAAAAGTTAGAATAAGGATTCTAGATATACTAAGAAGTTAAAAAACTAAGGATAGCTAAGATAACTAAAGCTTTTATTAGCTATATAAAAAAAACTTCAAAATTACTAATATATATAGATCTAGATCTATTAGACCTAGTATTAGTAGTTCTTACTACTTTAGTTATTTTATAAAAGCTAGAAAGTATAGAAAAATATAAAAAGAAAGCTAAATTTACTAATATTAAGATAGATCTCTATACTATAGGAGATTCTTTATTATACTATAAAGTTTTAGTATATAGCTAAGATAGAAATATAGCTATTTATATCTTATTTAATTATAGTACTTCCTATATCTTTATTTTTATTAACTTCCTTAAGAAAAATTATTTATATCCTAACTATTATAAAACAAACTTAGATATATATATTTAAATATCTAATAGAGAAAGGCTTATTATAAAATTAAAGATTTAACTCCTAATAACTTTTAGAAGCTAGTATATAATTATTTTAGTATAGGTACTTAATTTACTAGAATATAAACTTATTCTTAAATAGGATTTCCTAAAGTATTAGAACCCTAAGATCTATTAGAAAATATCTATTATAAAGATTTATAATTATAGCTAGATATATATTATATAGATTAATAATTAATATAAATATATCTTAAATAATAATAACCTATAGCTAAATTTAATATTAGCTAGATAAATATAAAAAGAACTAAAGTATAAGTCTATATAAAAAATATTATATATTATATATCTAGAGATAGTAAAAAAGTTTAAAGTATCTAAGTTATCTAGGATTCCTATATATAGGGACCTAAAGATTTATACTATTCTAATAGGATATAAAGATATCTTTAGAATAATATTACTATAAGAGTTACTACTAAAATAAGCTATCTTATATAATATATATACTAGAGATACTATACTTATTAATATTAACTTATATATATTATCTAAACAAAAGCTATAAGAATAGATAAAATAAATATCTAAACTATTAGAAAAGGATCTAATTTAACTATCTATAAGTATTTAGGGATTCTCTATAATATTTATTATAAAACCAAATAGTAGCTAGAGGATATATATAGATTATTATATATTAAATAGACTAATATTGAAAAATGGTTATCTACTACTATAAATTTAAGATCTACTTAATTATATAGATACTACTAAGATTATATCTAAGATAGATTTAATATCTAGATATTAGTAGGTTTAAATAGAAGTACAATTAATTAAAAAGATTACTTTTAATATAATATAAGGAAAATATAAGTAGATTATAATACTATTTAGGCTATATAATATATCTATTACTTTCTAGTCTATTATAAATAATATATTAAAACCTTTTCTTAACTAATTTATTATAGTTTATTTA